TAGCCGAGCACGTTACCACTAGGATAACGCACTATTATAATGTTAAAATTTCATTAGGAGTATATATTTTGCAACAGTATCGTTTTAAAAAATTGCTAATTTTTCAATTTTACAGGATATCTTCTCGATTTTCAAATATTCGGTTTTTAAACGATATTTCGATTGATTTGCCATTAACAAAAAAAAAATTGGAATTATTTTGAAAAAAAGAAATGAATGATGCCGGGGGATTGAACTCGGGCCGCTGGCGTGCCAGTCGAGCACGTTACCACTTTTTTTTTTTTTTTTTAGAGTTTCTTTATTTTAATCCTTAGTATTACAGTAATTATAAGCTTTAAATTAACTCCTTGTAAAAAACATAGCTTTAGTGTAACATGGAGTGGTGACGAAGGTGGTTTGTTGAGGACATCTCGTTCATCATCATTATGTGCCGGCTGCGGGCTAAAGGTGTGGGAGTTATCTTTGGTTAGCTGGATAGGAATCGATGAGACGGTATTTCGCTTGAGCGTGGGGCGTGGGGAAAAATTCACCCCGTGTGGCACGAAAAAAAAACCACGAGACTGCACGTTACCACTAAGACAACGCGGTCATTTAAAAATATAAACTCATTAGTGGTATATCTTCAACATATTGAATAATTTTTTCCATTGAAATTCCACAAGATGTGGTTCCCCCCTTCCATACGTGCTACAGTCGGCTAAATTTCAGTTAAACAAATGAAAAACAAAAAGCCTTCGTACAGCAGAAAATAAAATTCGCCCCGTCGACTTGATGGACACCCCAGCACTGCAATAAAAACTTGGTTAATAAAAAAAAAAACACCCCAGCATTGCGTGTTGCGCCCTCCCTCTCTTGGGGTGCAGTACTACGATGCCGCTGAGGTCACTCAAACCCCCAGAACTGAGCCTCTACTTTAGACAATCCTCTTTGCTTCACTCTTTCAATAGTGAAGAGATTCTACCTTACCATTGCTCAATTAATTAATACCGAAAAAAAAATCACTGATGAAAACGAATAAAGCATGAGTACGTAATTTTCATACATCCATTTATTCACAAATCTTGAAATTGTTTGATTGTTCCATTGGATTTACAGGACATTCAAGCTCACTCACATATCCGTAGAGCATTCCGAGTACAATTTTAATTACGCAAATTTGATATCATTCCTTACAAAAATAGTTTCCTAATTATTCTATACTGATTGCTCCTCATTTTCCAACATTTCCAAAAAAAATGCGATCAATTTTATCTTATGAAAATGAGGACACCATGCAACGTTGCCAGCGTTATATATGAATCAAGTTGCGAGTAGAGTTTCATACATTTTTAAAATGAATAAATAGTGCCCTGGAAAATGCGCTTTCTCGATATTAAACGAAATCAGACCAACTAAACTCCCTTTCTTCTTACAGATCTAAAAAAATTTCATCTATCACATTCTCATGTGTGTGTCTCTTAAAATGTAAAAAAAAAAATCCTCCTGTATTTCCTGTAATAAGTTATAGTAGAAAACTTTCCTCAATAAAATTCAAGCATGAATAATTTCATTCCTACCACTGGCAAGTGTTCCAATTTTTTTTCCAATTTTCTCATTTTCTCTCACAAGTATGAAAAGCAACTAATTCCCAATCTCTCACATTCGTATCCTCATTCATGCAAAAATCGAGTATTTTTTTCCCCTAAAAAGAGGATTACTCTCTTTTTATATCATTGCATAAAAAATGATTATTTATAACTATGATAAAAAGTACTAACAAATTCTAGGCAACTTGCGTTCCATTTCCTACATTTCGTGCCAAACGAAAACTCCCGATTTTTTCCTACAATATTTTTTGGTTTACTCCAAAGTGCAAAATTTTCAATAGAAAAGAAAATTAATAAATCCTACCAAAATTCAAAAAAAAAAAATTGAGTGATTAATACGTTATCACTCAAATCACTCATGACTATTTTCCAAAAAGTCTGCACACAATGTTTCCCATAAGAATTTGTGTTCTCTAGGCTTTTCCCTCGAACAGTTGCTCATCAGTCTTGCCCTACAATCCCCTCCTGAGGACCAATCCATGCTGACAGGGAGGTTCGTTAATGACCCAATCATCACTTCCACGAGGTAATGATAATTCATGCACTCTCAGAGTCATCATCACAGGCAAGTACGTCCGTACTGCGAGGAAGGAGTAGAGCCACATGTCCATATTTGCTAGTTTTGTACTTTTCTTGAATAGCCTGTTGCGGAATGTTGGCAGCTGCGTTGAATGTTTTACTCAAATGTCCAATGCATCCCTTGAGTTCGTGAAAGGTGTAGCCCGTGGACAATTCAAGCTCGTGCGGCCACGTCTCCTCCTGAAGTGTGTGACGTGCAACAGCTATGGCAGATGCTGCCAAATGACTGGGTAAATACTGAAGATAAGGATCTGCCTCAAGCATCGATAATTCACACAAGTACATTGCCAAAAATTGAATCTTATCACTCAGATTATTACTGATGCAGTAATCCCTGAGAAAAGCCAGTGGCGTCGGCACTGTCAGATCGAATGACAAAACCCTGAGGATGAGATGCTCCATTCTCAATACCTGCTTTTTCGTGTACGTGTCGTCGGTTATGTAGACAAATTCACCGACGTCTGGAGGGTATATTTCCTCGTATTTAGCTGCAATAAATATTGCTGCTGTACCTACCAACTGGAGTTTAGCTCTCACCACACTCATGTACGATAAAAATCTGTCTATGTAGGAGACAGCCAGGTAAAGAGTTTCCGAGTGTAATCTGTATTCTTCAGCTACTTCCACTAACCAGTCAACGAGAATAGCTCGCATCGAGTAAGTGATGTCTGGTTGCTTTTTCATGTACCCAGGTTTTGGCCTGTGTTGTGTCTCAGCAATCCGCAGGTAATTGTAAATGTCGGCCCTGTACTCATCTACATCATAAAAATTACTCTTGGATACCTTAGTTGCCTCTCTCTTTGCCCTCAGACCCTTTTTCCCGGAATCAGTCAGGGAAAGGGACTTCTCGAGAGACAGGGGGCTCGCTCGGTGGAACAATGGTATGTCTTCCTTCTTTCTTTCATTTCCGATTTCTCCCAGGACTGGTCTGAATGGTGGCACAATGCTCACCGACGTCAACTCGCTCTTCTGCTCACGAATCGAGTTAATCGTCACCTCTGTCGTTTTTTTAACGTGAATCTCACGTGTTTCTCGAGTCTCTCGGAGTACAACCTGGGTTTCTTCCTCAAGTTTGTCCTCGTAGATCTTGAAAGCGCCCTCGTCCTTTTTTCCATCGTATATTTTGAAGCTGTCGTAAGGGGGTGGAATAAATGTCGTTTTCGATTTTGAGAACTTATCTTCCTTGTTGTTGATTTCCTTTTAAAAAATTCAACAGTTTTAATCCAATAGAATTGACCAAATTAGTTATAAAAAAAATTGTTATGAAATGCAATAGAAGTAATGGAGGGAAATGCGGCGATTGCCTCGAATCTGAGAGAGATAGTTTCATTTCCCTCCGGAGTCCCTGTGCAGAGTGCAATAAAACCGGAGGTCAAAATTCTGCTGGGTCATCCCGAAATATTTATCAAAACCTAAAATCGACGTGCGCCTAATTATTCCAGAATCCCCTTAAAAAAAAAATGTTCACTTCCCGTATTTATCGAAGAGACAAGAATGCCCAAATTTGCTGTTTTAACCGTAGATAAGATAAAGGTCATTCAAGGATGTAAATACCTGGAGTAAACAGTGAATTTACACATGCCGTGTCGAGCATTTTAATAAAATGCCCAAAAGAGGCGTATGAAGACCTTCAACGATAAACTGGAGTAAATAACGGAAAGTGTCTGTACGATATTTAAGCTGTAGATATTGAGCCGATAGCTCATGAAAAATGAAAGCGTGAAAATAGGATTGAGACTCACTGGCTTGGTTCTGGGGCAGTTGTTATGCAGGACGCCAAGGACCGCACGTTTTTGCTGTCCTAAACCACCTAAACCCTGATGTTCCCTGAGTACAGCATTCTCCTTTCCTCTCCTAGCATCGCCAGTACGATTCTCCTGATCCTCGTGTACCCTGATCGTAGCCATTACTCTCTCAAAAAAAAACCTCGTTATCTCGGCTTCCTCACGTATCCCCAAATATTTCTCGTCGTTGCTGGTCTTCTCGGCACGTCCTTCCTGGTCCTTTCCAACCTGAGTGATCAGTCCTCGAAGCACGAGAAAACTCAGACTTATCAGATTACTTTCAACTAATGTACATCACGATGGCTAGGTAAAACCCAGGAAAGAAATTTTTTTTCGATGTAAATTTTTCAGGACCAGGACACCCGGAAAAAATCCTCCAAGCCCCCACTTACCAGGCTACACTGTCCGTTTGGATTTATTTCAAACAACAACGTATTCCACAAACTGTCCAACAGCTGTCGGTAGGTAGATTCGTTCGTTATTATTCCGCATTCGACTTGAAATTCGTCCAATTGAAGGTGAGAAAATGAGAATCGGCCAATGGCAATCGACATATTTGAATGGGAGGGGTTCTAGAGAAGTTGGTGGGGGAAAATGCGCGGTTATTCTGGACGAATCAGGAGGGATTATTTGGCTGGTCGATTGTGGAGGGGACTTAACCTGTTTGTTACTGTTTCGAATGGTAAAGAAGAAATTTGTCTCATCAGCTATTAACGAAAAATGTCCCTAGCGAATTTGTTGAACTTTCTGAATGTTGGTGTGTGTTCAACACGTCAAACTTCAGAAGGTGTACGAGTCCGGCCAGCTGCGGTGATTAACTCGTGAACAAGTGTGATTATATACAATTTTACTGTGGGGTGTGAGCAACCCCGGTGTTTCAAGGATATTTTAATCGTCAGAATAGAGAGCTGGTTGGGATATTAAAATTGTTTATATGATTTCGTGATAGATTCATTGATAAAATGGGTGAGTTGTGTACATGTGTCAGTCGGGGTGAATGATGTCACTATTTCGTATCATTGGAATTATTTGTTGATTCACTTCGGCAATCGGTTTTGGGATAATTTAAGGGGTTGTTAATTAGCTTTCTTAATTTTTTTTGGGGCAGGTGGATTGCTGAGTTATTTTCGTAATCTCCTCGGTAGCAGGGAGATGAGGATTCTTATCCTTGGACTGGATGGTGCTGGCAAGACGACGATTCTATACAGGTCCACTATTTTATCTTTTACTGATTTTGTTTGAACAGTGATATGAGCAGATTGTTGCAGAATTTTCCATATTTTTAACTGCTGGATTTTGTTTCAGACTCCAGGTTGGGGAGGTTGTTACGACGATACCAACGATTGGGTTTAATGTCGAGCAAGTTACGTATAAAAATCTCAAGTTCCAGGTCTGGGATTTGGGAGGGCAGACGAGCATTAGGTATGGAATTTTATGGAGGGTCCAGGGAGAAATGGTTTTGTATTTTGAATTTTTCTATGGACTGGATTTTTTATGCACAGACCTTACTGGAGATGCTACTATTCCAATACAGATGCAATTATTTACGTTGTGGACTCAGCAGACAGGGACAGAATAGGAATTTCCAAGGATGAGTTACTCTATATGCTCAGGGTGAGAAAGTATTAATTTCGTTGGTTGTTTTTCTAGAAAAAAATTGCTTCATCGAAAAATACAGATTCAAACATTAATTCAGTTGCAAAATGACAAGAGACGCCCAAGAACACTCTCCTCTTGACATTCAATTCACTTAATGTCGAACGATAAAAGAATTAATTAACGATAATCAATTTCCCTTAAAATATCTCCAGGAGGATGAACTCCAGGGCGCAATCCTAGTGGTTTTGGCCAACAAACAAGACATGCCAGGCTGTTTAAGTGTGGCTGAAGTTCACCAGGCACTTGGTCTAGATGCTCTGAAGAACAGAACATTCCAGATCTTTAAGACATCAGCGAAAAAGGGAGAGGGGCTCGATCAGGCAATGGATTGGCTGGCGAATGCACTGCAAAGCAGAAAATGATTCGATATGAATAAAGAAATAATCAATTATTTAAACGATGAAAGGGAAATTTTTGTAATCTTGCATCATCGATGGAAAAAACACATTGTGCGTGGGATTCAGTTATTTATTGATGATTGAATGGTTCATTGAATGATTCGTGATTAGTGATGGCTTTGTGAGTGAATGCGATAGGTTTTGGGGTAACGTTACCCACTGGAAGTTAAATCAATAGACAATATTTTTCGTTCTCCACGTAATTCTGAAGTTGAGTCGAGTTACAAGATGAATCCAATAATTCCTTATGCAATTAAATTCTCTCCCAACATCTTTAGGATTCGTCTCCACCTCCTCTCAATCTCAGAACTTTTATTCTCATTATAATTACTTTCTTAATTATGTGTCTATTTTTTTCTATCGAATTATTATTGAATGTGTGGGTGATACTGAATGCCAAATGTGGATTAGATAAACTCGATAATATAATTCCTACTAATCTTCGTGAATTAAATTGACATACTGGGTAGATTTTTGATAATCCATTCCCATAAAAAAAGAAAAATAAAAAAAAACAGATAAGAAAAATCGGGCCTGCTGTAACAGACCAAAAAGGAAATTCAATTAAAGAACAATAATCAGTTTTTTTCTCTCGTTTTTGTCCTGTACCAATGATTGAGCGATCGACGATTCAGTCAATAATAAAATTACTGAAGACAGAGAAAAAAATTCTCACCTGTTACCAATCAGTGAGTCCAAATCGATCAATCCTCTTCATCTGTGTATCCAATTCCATCTGCACTTTTTTCCTCATGTAAAAAATGGGACAATCACGACTGGTACAGAGTACCTCTTGGTGAAGACTCCCCTGGCATCTCTGACACTCCGTCCACAGTCTGCAGAATTTCTCCTCAAGTTTTCTCCCAGCGTACAACTCAGTCTGATAATAATCAATTTCTTTGGACTCACAGTATTTGCAGAGTGCCATTTTCTCTCTCTCAGGAGGTAAAACTGATTTGCAACCGATGCACGTCTCCTTTTTCCTGGTGAATGCAGCAAGTGCCCCAACTCTGGAGGTAACAACAGCTTTGGTCCTAGTGTGCTCACCCTTGAGAAGAAGTGATTCAGCCTTGTCCCCGAGGATAGGCTCGAAGATACGAATCAAAGGTTTTGCCAACTGATTCTCCAAGTAATAATTAGTGTCAATAGGAATGCTGTTCTCCAACACGTAAATAGGATCCTCAGCCTTCATGTAAGCAGGTGTTCCCTTAGCTGAACTCGTGAAGACATAAGGAACACGATCTCCCAGTTTAGGGGCTGTTCCAGCATCCCTCTTCTTCATTTTTGCCGCCAACTCCACGTGAGCCTGTTTGGCAGCGTAATCAGTCTTCGTCAGCTCTTTCGTCACAACTAATTGGGAGATATCAATTCTGTTGCAGAGTAAATCACTGATCATCTGTTTCGCGTAGTCCAATGCCTCATCAGGATTTCTCTCTATCAGCAACTTCTGCAGACAAGTGTTCATCATGTTGGCGACGAGAGGACAGTTGTCTCTTCTCACTGTCTCCAATCCTTTACAATCCATCTTATCGTATTTGTCAGGCTTTGTGAAGTATAGCCCAGCGTATCTCTTCTTATTAATCAACAAGTAAGGGAAATAAACTTTTTCAAACTCGAGCTTAATTGGTTTGACGAATTTAGCTGAGACATACTCAGCAGCTTCCTTCCCCAATTCCATAGCTTCCACAATCTCTTTCACCCCAAATTTCACCATCACGGAGTCAGTGTCACCATAGATAACATTGGCATCGTGTTTGTATCCATTTTTAATGCAAAATCTCTCCTCAACCTCCTGCTTTGTCTTCTCGATCATCGTTCTCCCAAAAGCTGTGACCGAGGCTGATATTTCCAAACAAGGAAGCTTCCCCACTTGAGCCCCAGTAAATCCATAAACCGAGTTGGCAGAGACCTTGAGAGCATATTGTCGACCATCAAGTACCTTCTGTTTGAGTGGATCAGTCTCGTTCTTGAGCTCAGCCTTGGCTTTTTTCCTGGCACTCAATAGATTCTCTAGAATTTCAGGTAGAATTCCCTTTCGAACTGTTTCCTTGGCAAACAGAGAGTTGGAGGGTGTCTTCGTTACCATTTCATCACTGAGATTGTATTTATTCTTCGTCTGGATGGTCAGCAAAGTAGTGTAACAGATATTGTGAGCCATGATGATGCTGGGGTAAAGAGAGCTAAAATCGAGAGTGGCTATTGGATCATTGTAGAACCCTCTCTTCGGTTCGAGGACAGTTCCACCGTCGTACTGCTCTTCTGAGCTCTGTCCCTGGTGCACTGGCATGAGATAATCGCGTTCCCTGGCATGTCTCAGCAACTGGGAGACAACTTTGATCTGTTGGCCACGTGTGAGGAGACTGGCGAGAGTGACACCAGTGACCCTAGCCATCTCCATGTAGATGATGATGCACATGAGTTTATCTAGCAGTCTCAGAGGCAGATAAGCATCTTTCAAGCAATAAACAGCGAGTCGTCGACGAGTTTGAGAGTCACCTGCCTGCAGGTCCGATATTATACTGTGGTGGACGTCCTCCTTCTGCTCCTGAAGAAAGTGATAACTCACGGCATTCAAAGAGTAAGATCGAAGCTTGTAATCTCGCACGAGAACTAGCAGCAGATCGAACGGAACTCTTCCCTCAAAATTCACATATTTATTCTCTCTTCTCCCCATCTGCTTGCTCTGCAACATCTGATCCTTGATGACACTCTTTATATCCTTGATTCTCCCCAAAAATGAAAAATTCTTCACTGCCAGATGTTGAGCACGATTTATCAAATAGGGAAAATCGAAATTATTAATGTTGTACCCGGTGAATATGTCAGGATCGAGTTGTCTCACAAAGTCCCCCCACTTCTCAAGCATAAGTTTCTCGGTGCCGAAGCTCAGTACCTGACAGCCTAAAATAGGAGCACAAGTGTCGAGAGTGAAGATATTCCTGAGGAAGGGCTCGTGATCGCCCTGTCTGATCACCATGCTGGCAATCTGGATGACAGGATCGTGATTGGGTTCAGGGAAGATGCCTTTTCTCCCTGCACACTCGATGTCAAAGCTGAGAATTCTGAAAGGTGCGACTTTGGACCACTCACCCTCTGGTGGATGGGAGACAAAGGCATCCCAGGCGACGTCAACCTCCAACTGACATCTCGATGTGACTGGCATGTTGTGATTGAATTTTCCCCTGATTTTCCAAGTGCCAGAGGGAAGTTCTATCCAAGAGCAGCCGACCACTGATGTGTCTACCATGAATCTTATGTCAATGTCGATGTTGCTTTCGAATGCTCTGTAGTCGTGGTGAAATGCTGAGTAAATCACCTCTTTCTCAAGGAGTCTTTTGCAGGCAGCGACGAGACGTGGAAGGGCAACTGTTATTTTCAAGAAGGGGATCTTCTCCTCACCGCTGTATCCATACATATTTTGTTTGTAAACTATTTCAACTGCTAGAACAGTGTCGATGATATTCTCGGGGTTCGATCGCATATCCTTTTTTATTGCGTTGTCGAGGGCCTCTTTGAAGGGCTTGCAGTGATTATTGGTGAAGTTGGGGGGTGCCGAGACGAAGAGGTAGGGACAGAAACCGTGGACGTGACAGCACACTGAATTGCCCTCCATCGTTACTCCAAACATTCGCATTATGGGGACTGGACCGGCCTTGCTACCTGGCATTCCGACCATTGCCTTACCCGTGTAATGGTCTACCTCGATTTGTTGGAATGATAGAGTATCCTTCGCGGGATTGAACTCCGGTGGCGGTGGACGAGACCATTTTGATGTCGCGTTCTCCTGCTCTGGGCCCTTTATTTGAAATGATTCATTATTTTTTTTACCCCGGGAGCCTGGATTGATTGTGAATTTTTTGGAAAAAAAAATTATTTTCTGCAAAGTAATGAGAAGAAATGAGCAAAAAAAAAACTACTTCCAAGCATTTTTTTTTTATTCCCATTGTTAGTGCAACCAATTTTTTCCTTCGGAGTGTACTAATGAATTACTAGAGCCATAAAAAAATGACAATACATAAAAATAAATATGATGCGAAAAGCAAATTATGAGGACACGTGATGAGCATGAATTATCACTCAGAAGTGGTAAACTCACTCGTTGTCGTTTTCTAGGGACAAAGTGACTAGTGGAGGGCTAGAATTCGAGAAAATATTCATAAAGATCCTGAAAAAATTTTAATATGTTCAAGTAACGAGAGATCACCGGCATTACATATTGATTTCAAAGACAATCATCTGACCTGTTCATCAGTGATGATCTGGGAGATGTCTCCAAAATCATCGTCCATCATGGTGGCCAGTTCGGCCTCGAAGGAACCAGGTAAATCCTCGTCATCCTCGTCGTTTCTAGAAGTCCCAAATTTTTTGGTAAAAATATCAATTCTGCCATTTCTGTTTCAATTTCATAGTCATTATTTTTTAAGAATGAATGTAGTCATGAGGTCTTCTGGAGGTTAAAAGAGACAAACTCCAGGGGATTGTCCACTCATTCTTTTGTCTATTGCTGACATTGTGGAATTAAAAGTTGTGGCATCTGCATGATGCAGTGGTTGAAACATTAATATCTTTCAGTTGCAAGTCCTCTGATCAACACAATAGATTTTCAAGGTGCAGGAGATTTAAAAGAGGAATACTTGTCAATAAATTCACTGGTACTCACTTGAATTTTCCCTTTTTCGCAGGAGTCTGTGACGATCCAAACTGTCGTTTTTTCATTATTTGTAATGATTAATTTGCTGATTGAAATTGAGATTTCTGATGAGATGCGGAATACACTGATGATCAGAGATCCAATCGAAGTGTTTTTGATGGTCAAGACCAAAATCCACACGGTAAATTCTCTTCAATCAATTATTTTTCACTGACTATTGGATTTTACGTGATTGCACTGTTTTTTTTAAGAGGGAATTATTTATTAGGTTAAGAATTTTCGCAATTATCGTATCTCGTCAAATTGAGACTGCCCGCGGTGGTCTGTACGCATGGACGGTGTGCGTGCGTATGCACGGAGTATCGCCTGGCGACCCCCCTACTCGAGCGGTCTTCTGTGCGCATGCAGGGTGTTCTGTGCGCATGGGAAGTGTTCTGTGCGCAGGCGCGGAGTATCGCCGGGGGGCCCCCCCACTCGAGC